GGCGCTGGGAGAGCTAAGTTCCTAGCAGTAAGGAGGTGGGTCAGGTGGGAGATACCTGGGATGAGGGCACCACCAAACGGAGAGAGGGCACAGGGAGAGACTGCTGATGAGCGTGTCTACCCTGCGGACGGAAGTTGGCCAGCTCTCCCGGCCCTGTCAGGTGCATAGGTCCCTCTTTGCTTACTATGTTTGAGTTGATTCTGTTGCTGGAAACCAGAATCCTTATCTATTAATCATACTTAAGTGAACTGAGGCACAGAGAAGTTAAGGAACCTGTCCAAAGTCACACAGCCAGTGAGAGGAGAAAACTGGACTGTAATACGTTTATTCCAAAGCCCACGACTTCACCCACCATGCTCACTGGCCCTCTGCGGTGTTTGGGAGTGAGTCTGGGCAGATGTCTTGGGTCCCCGACTTTCCCTCGAAGGCATGTTTTTTATTTCCCCACAGGGGCATCTCAAGTGTCTTGAGAACATCCCCATAGGCCAAATACCTTAAGGTTAAGCCTCAACCCTTAACCTCATGACCACCTCTGGGGAAGGATCTATCACTGTTCCCATCTTGCAGATGAAGAAACGGGTGCAGGCTGCTTGCTGGGGGTCACAGTTACTAAGAAGCAGCGCTGGGAGTCCCGCCGAGGCGCCCCTGCTGCAGAGCCCACCTCTGCACATACATGCAGCCAGCCGGCTGGCTGACTCGCGAACTGAGGGTGTGTCCCAGTTCATTCACTAGCTCCTGGGGCCAAGGCCTCAACTCTTCTCTGAGCAGCTTGGGCCACCTCTGGGGGCTGCTAGGGAACTGTGCTGCCCTGAGTTTATCCTGCCTTCCCAGGATAAATTATACCTCAGAGCAACCAAACAGTAACTGAAGGGGAGTTCTTTCTAGAAGAATTCCAGCCAGTAGATGAGAAAGGGATAGTGGAATTTAGAACCTGCCACTGCGGCTCACCACTCGTGGCAGCGACATCACAAATGGCTGAAAGCGGAAAGCCCGTGTATGACAACGGGTCGGGCGGCTCACTCGGAGTCACTCTCACACAGGGACACCCAGACACGTGGGGCCCCCCGAGGGACACGCCCACAAGAAGGCATTGAAGCAGAATCTAATTTCACGGCTGTATCAAACCTCAATTATGTGCTAGAGATGGAGCTAACGAGGAGGCTGGGGGAGGGGCAGCTCTAAATCCAGGAAGTGGGAAACTCTAAGGACAGGTGACCTGGTTTCTTTGCAAAATTGCAAGGAAGAGAAAAAAAAAGTGGGAGGGAGGGGAAACTTAAGAGATTCAAAGAGCCTGCAGCGCCTCATTAGCCAAATATAATAGGAACATCCTGATTAGTTAAACAACTGCCTTGAAAAATGTCTCTGATATGGAGAAAGTTAAAGAGAGATGGGACAGTTCCTATTGAATTATTATTAAAAAACTCAAGAACAATGATAATTTTTAGAAGGTCCTCGTGGGACACATATCTTCCAAGGTCTGGGATGGGATCCAGTAACCCAGGATGGGGAGGTCTGAAGGTTTAAAAAGAATGAGAAGAAGCTGGTCAGGTGGCGATGAAATGCTGGAACGGGGGAGGGTCTCAGTGTACTTTCTGCAGGTTTGAAATGTTCTACTGAAAAATTAAATATTGAAAGAAACCAGGTCCACACTGAACTCCCACTATAAAACCTGGGCTCGCCCTGGGTCCTCCGTCTCGGGATGGGCCCCCATGCCACTTGCCCCTTCCCCCACTGCTCGCCAGCCAGGGGCTCCCGGGGTGGCAGGAACTGGCCACACAGACCTGCCCTCTGCTGGCCCAGAAACCCATATGGCTGCCTCTGCTCCGACAGGCCATCTCATCATGGTCTGATCTTTCCATCAGTCGATCAGCTGGACAGACCCTTTGTTGTGTCACCTGAGGGCCCGGCAAGTCAAGTGGCTGCCACATAGTAGGGATTCAACAAACACACTGAACAGAAGCGTGTGTGCCTTCAGCCAGGTTACCTTTAACGCAGTGCGCGTCATCCAGTGGATGGGAGAAGTGGGGTACCTGCCTCGGGTTGGGTGGAGGCGGGGGGGGGGTCTGCAGAGTCTCTGAGGTGTTGGCTGACACACCCAGGGCCCACATCCTGCCTCAGGCAAAGAAAAGGCCGGCTGCGGGTGACTGTGCAGGGGGCAGGGAGGGGTGTATGGGACAGGCCAGGCCTGCCTTACCTCCGGGGCGTGCCGTCGTCGAAGGGCGGGATGATGACCACCTTGACTGTGACGGAGGTGCGCAGCAGGTCGATCATCTGGTCGTGCGTCAGGGTGACCACGGCCACCTTGCAGATCTCCACCAGCCGGCTGCCCTGCCGGAGGCCGGCCTGCCAGGCAAACCCGTAGTCCTCCACCTCGGCCACTGTGCCATCGTACTTGACGTGGAAGCCTAGCTGGCCCAGCCCGTTCCGCCGCAGGGTCATGTCCACCGTCTCCCAGCCACTGGTCATTACCTGCAGGCGGACAGGCAGGTTCAGCCTCAGAGTCCTGTGTCCCACCCAACTGATCAGCTGTACCCCACTGCCCCTCTCAGGAGACACTGGGGCACAGCAGCGTGCACACCCACCCGGCCCCAGCAGGGGGTTCCTGATTTCTGGAGGATACGTGACTGCTTCTTACCACAGAGGTCCTGCTCTCCCTCCATCCCTGCGTGAGGCAGGGCTGCATCTGCACTGTGGCCCCTCGGCCCTGGGGCATGTTGGTAGCTGCGGGTGGAGTGCTGGGTGGTCAAGACTAGGGCATCTAGCTCTGGAGGCCTCTTCCCTTTGCCACAGCCACTGGGATTATGCTCAAGGGCGGCTGCTGGTTCGTGGGGTCCCCAAGTCAGAGAGACCCCAGGTGAATCGGAGATGGACTTGTAGTGTAAACCACACCTTTGTTGTTTAAGCCACGAATTACATACCCTGACCCGCAGGGCCACCTAAGGAAGCTGAGAAGCTGCAGCCCAGCACCCCGGGGTCGCTGGCTCATGCTCTTCCTGACATCACCCTAGGGGAGACAGCCCCTCCCCATCTCCTTGGACCACCCCCAAGCTGGAGCCGAGCAGACCGAGTAGCGCTTGGCTCCAGATGCTCCCTGCTGCATCAGCGCAAGTTCGGGCCGCGACAGCAGGTTCGGGACATGAACCTGCAGACAGGCGAGTTGCATTAGCGGTGCAGGGCGAGGCGACGAGCTTAGCCATTGAGCAGGTGACGTGGAGATCCGTCTGTCCTCTCCCAAAACTGCTCTAAAGGGTGCAACAGCTGACTCCTGTGAGGCAGCACCCCGTGGAAAGGGTGCTCCGGGGCCTCTGAGCCTGCCGGGCGGTGGTGTGCACGTCTGTGACCACTGCCGGCGGGAAGAAGTTCCTGTCACGGGTCGCTTCCACACGTTTAGACACACACACCTCCGTGCACACAAAATAATCCTTACAACCCAAGTCACACTGCTGAGGGCGGGGAGCAAGAAGTGAGAGGCAGGCTGGGAAAGGACTTAGCTGAAAACACGACCCACGTGGCGTAAGATCTGGATAGTAAGACTGAGCAGTGGGGATACGTCGGATTGGGGCACGCCCCCCAAACACAGTAAGGACTTACCCTGACTCACTGGGGGTTCTGCTGGGACTTACTTGCTCTTTTCCTATCTCACCCCAACAACTGTTGATTGAGACCCAGTCAATGACTTCATAGCCCGACTTGTTTACGTGACAATCAGAAATTACTGCGAGGCGTGGCAACGACAACCAAAACCGTTGATTTTAAAGACTGTTGTAGAAATGATCGTTGAAATGTTTACAGATGAAGTGACAGGATGTCAAGGATTTATTTCAAAATAACCAGGGGGAAGTTAAGGGAGGGGCGGGAGCAGGCGAAGGCCCCGGCTGTAACTGGCAGCTGGGGATGGGGCCAGGCGTTCATCACGTGAGCGCCTCTACGTGCACGCACGTCCGAAACCTCCTGTAATTAAAGAGTTTAACTGGCTTGAAGGAAAATCGAGTGTCATCAAAGAGCAAGCTGTGACTGGTTTCCTCCCAGCCTGTGATTCCTGATTTGGGAGTCAAAATTCTTCCCTTTGAAGCTGCCACCCAGATTCCAAAGACTGTGGGTTACAGAGGCCAGCTCCGTGCACCCGCCCAGTAGGGCCCACAGCAGCCCTGGAGTGCCGGGGTGCCCGCAGGAGGCTGGCCCACAGCGGCAGGGTCACCCCCCGTTCGCCCCTGCTTCCTTTTAGTGATAAAGACCCCCCCACTCCACCAACAAAGCAGCTTTAGTGGGCACATGGCTGCCGAGTTGGGGCCCCTTAGGTGTGGAATCTGACTAGGGCCACAGGATGTGAATGGAAGTTAGGAAGCTTCTAGGTCATGTTCTTACAAATAAAACCGCTTTTCCTGCGTGCTTGGCACTGTCCCGCCAACAGGAGCGTGGACAGGCTGACGCTCGGCTTTGGCCATGCTGAGAAGTCCGAGGCTGAAGGCAGAGGAGGAGCAGCGTGGGAGGGCGGCGAGTGCCTGGGCATCCCTGCCCCTAGGCCAACCTTGACCCGAGCGGGCAGGGCTTACTGCAGCTACTGACTTCTCAGTCGCCACCCCAGCGGCTCCAACTGTCAGCTACCCACTGGAGACTTTGGAGTCTTTGGCACAGGAGTCAGGCTAACCCTGGCTGCTCTGAGTGGCTCCCAAGTTTCGTCCCCTGGGCTTTCGCGACAAGCCAAAGGCGGCCCCGCCTGAGGAGAGGCGCTGCTGACGGTCCCTCACTTCCGAGGCCAAAAAGACACAAGTGAACCCGGGGGAACCCCTGCACACAGGCCCCCCTTTAAAGCTCTTTCTTCCGGGGGCTGATCTTTGTGGGCCAGGTCCTGGTAAACCCTTTAGGAGACCAATTTCATCTGCACCTCACTCACGAGGGAGGGACGAGTAGCTCGCTTTCAGAGCGGGAGCCGAGGGATGCAGCGGCCAGACAGGGACAGAGCTGGCGCAGCCCTGCGTCCGGCCCCTGGTCCTCAGTCCCGCTGCTGCCCCGCACTGTCCTCTTGGTTCAAGCCTCAGTTTGAAAGTCCTCAGGGGGGCCCCTCCTGCAGCCCCCAGGAGGCACGCTTGGTGCAGGCCGGAGACACCTAGCCCGACGTGCACTCGAGCACCCCCTTCCCGCGAGCACGGCCTGCGCGTGGAGCCCGGGGAGCCAGGCCCTCCAAGCAGCAAGCTAGTCACAGAAAACCCCCCGGCTGTTACACTTTGGTGACTGAACAGGTCTGCGGTGTGAGCTGGCACCCTGAGCGTGGGGTCCCTCGCATCCTCCACACCGCCTGAACCTCTTCTGCTTGCAGCACCCGCCCGGTACCAGGGCAGGCTCGTGATAAAACCCGTCTACTGCACGAAGGCCGTCCGAGCCCCCGCTGTGCTGGGGTGGGCGGGTGCTCCCCCGAGGACGCCAGAGACTGGACCCTGGCCTGGCCCTCGCAGAGGGGATGATGTCATCACCTCCGGGCCTCCTGGAAGGCCCTGGGCGCTGAGCTTCTGTGTGTGGCGGGGGGCCGCGGAATGTGCTCTGGGAAGCACTGTGCCAACAGGCGGCTTGGGTTGGCGTGGGACGGAGGGGCACAGAGGACGTGGTAGCACCTGGCACGGAGCCTGGCTAGGTCGCTGCTCAAAAGGCACAAGCTGCTGTCAGGATTTTGGGAGGAGACTTCACCCCGTGTGAGAGCTGAGGCTCTTAACTCTGGCCCGGGGCAAGTGATTCACCTCTGGGGCTGTGTCCTCATCAGTGAGGTTGGGACGGTGGCGGTCGCTTCTCCCTCGGTGGGCTGGAGGGAGACTGGGAGGGCCTGCAAGCGCCGAGCAGGGGAGCACAGCAAGTCCTCCCCAGCTGCCTGCCTGCGCTCTTCCGGTCGGGCACAGGTGTGCACATGGGCTCACCTGGAGTCCACTGCACACCAGCTGCTGGGCGTGGTGCTGAGGGCATGGAGGGAGGGGAACAACACACATAAACAGCCATCAGAGGCGGCACAGGCTATGCAGAAAACTAAGGTAGGAAAGGCAGGTGGAACGCGCTCAGGGCAAGAGGCGGCTCTGCAAATTCAGACACTGAGGCCTCACTGACCAGGTTGAAGGCGGGGAGCGAGCCAGAGGGGGCAAGTGCTCCAGTGAGAGGACACAGGCAGGGCCCCGAGGCTGCATCCTGCCAGGCACACTGGAGGAACAACGAGGCCTTCCTGTCTGTAGCTGCCAGAGCCATGGGGAGCTGAGGTCACCAAGGCCTGGGGCCACTAGTAGGGAGATGAGGTCAGTGAGGTCCCAGGGAGCCAGGCCAGGTGAGCCTCGGGGCCACCAGCGACCCTTCCCTGGAGTAAGCAAGCAGAGCGGAGCCACGGTCGGCTCCTCCTGTTGTTCTGAGAATGAGGGAAGCAAGGGTCGAGGCAAGAGACCAGCAAGGAGGCCAACGGCTAGCCCAGGAGAGGCCAGGGTGCAGGCTGTGGAAGGGGAGGCGGCAGCTGGGGCTGCCTGCTGGGGCGGGAGCCGACAGATGGCGTGGGGGTGTAGGAGGGGAGCAAGGCTGGCGCCGTGTGGGCTGACCATGGAGCGATGGCCTGTCCTTTGCCGGCCCAGGCAACTGGCAGGTGGGGCCCACTTAGGGCTCTAGGGTTCTAAAGACACCCAAGTGGGAGGTCGCTGGCAACAGTAAGACCCACTCTCGGCCCGGAGAGTCTGGGCCCCCAGGCTGAGACCCCAGGCCAGAGGTGGGGCCTCCATCCGCTCATCTGTCAAGTGGGGGTGGGACACTCCCTTCTCTGTGGGGGTGGGGGGGTGGTGGCTTGTGAGCTGGGCACGTACGTGTGGGCAGCACAGCGCCAGGGCTCCATAAGCACACTCGCTGACCCTCACCGCATCAGACGCACCGTGCAGCGCACCCAGCCCCATCCACTCCGGGAGGTGAGCAGGTGCGCAAAGCAGCCGAGGCTGGTTCCGGCCCCCAAGCCCCAGCGGGAGACGAGCCCCTGGCTCTTGTGCTCACGAAGGCTGGGAGTCAGGCAAACCGGGAGCAGGGCTGTCCGGCCGAGGAGGGTGAGGGCAGTCAGCAGCTGGGGCACGCCGCGTGGCGGCCCACCGAGCCGGCAGGTTTGTTGGGGCAACACAGCTCAACCAGTTCTTAAAACTTACTGCTCATGTCAAGGCATCATTGTTCCCATCTTTCAGATGAGGGAACTGAGTCACACAGCAGAGAAGGGACTCGGCTCCAGGCTCCTCCGCCCCTCAGCGGCAGTGCTGGAGCCAGGCCTGACCAGGGAAGCCGCCACGTCACGCCCATCACTGCTCACGTGACATGCCCTTCTCACCCCTCCCCTCCCCCAGAGCCTAGCCCCAGCCCCTTCTGATGCTCAGGACAGCCAAGGATGTAGCTCATGGCTTTCTGTAGCCACCAGCTAGGCCGTCACTTGACTCAAACCAACCTACCACCCTCAAGTCCGACCAGGGAGCCGGGCCTGAGCTGCCACCAGTTCTGGGTGAGATCTGTGTCCAGACCACTGGTCTGTGCGTGGGGATGTTAAAACAGCCACCTTTCTCTGGTGACTGACGTGGACTGTTCCCGCCATGTAACTGCTTGTCTGGTTTTACTGGGCTTTCTCACAGCCCCCACCCCGGGCCCTGGGCCCCGGGCTCCTGCTAATGCCTATCTTTTAATGAACTGAGACTCTCTTAACCCCCGACAGTTCTTCCAGAGAACCCTGACATTTAACCAGCTTAACCCTAACTCCCTACCAACACCTAGACTGAGCCAACAGGCCTCCTGTCCTCCCGGGTGACAGCGTGGAGCCTTGACCCCTGGCCCAGGCTGTGGGACCCACCAGACCCTGAGCATGGCAGATGGGGGAGAGGGGGCAGTCACACCCTGGCCTCAACGGGCGGGCTCAGGAGGATGTCAGCGGCGCCCGAGGCCCGTGCCCGGCCGTGACAATGCCGCCCATCAGGACCCTCCTTACCTTCAGTCTCTGCACAATTTCCCTTATGTCCTCCACGGAGCCCTCAGCAGCCTGCAGGGAGATGTGGTCCCCACGCCCATAGAAGATCTTGAGCGTCGAGGAGTCCGGGGTCCAGCCGATGACGTCGCCGCAGTAGCAGTTGAACACCACCTCCTTGGTGCGCAGGTCCAGCAGCACCACAAACTCGTTGGAGATGCCCAGAATGCAGTCGGTCTCCACGCCCTGCGTGTAGTCCTGTGCCGCCACCCTCCAGGCAATGGCCCCCGCGCTGTGCTGCTCAGCGCCTGCCCGGGCTTTGGTCTTCTCCTTCTTCTTGGAGGTCAGGGAGATGAGGTTGAACTTGCCCGTGGAGTCGATGGGTGTGTTGGAGACGCAGTTCTCGGCCAGGTCCTTGAGGTACTCCTGCCGGGTCCTGGTGGCCATGGTGTGGAACTTGTCCGACTTGTGTGCCGCGTTCTCCGCGTTGATGACCTTGGCCAGCAAGAAGTCTCTGAAGACGTCAGATTTGCGGAAAGTGGTTCCACTGGGGATGGGGGGGCCGAAGGGAGGCGCATCTTTGGATCGGGTCACAGCCATGCTGAAGAGGGAGAGATCGTTTAGAGGGCAGGGAACATTCGGCCCATCAGTTTCCTTGTTGACGATGGGCCTTCCACCTTGCGCGTGATGGCTTTGTTTGCTTAGGGCACAAACACGCATTTTTACTTTCTACATAGTGGACTGCCTGAACATCTGCTGAAATTCAAAGAATAAGTCTAGCATCAGTCAACTGAAGCTATTCTTGTTTTACAGACACATAGATTTCAGGGGCTGGTGAGATGATAGTTTGCCAGAAAGTCACTCCTTACTCTACCTTTGCGGGCAGGTATATCCCCACCCCAGGTACCCTGCGCCCAGGGTCATATGAGGAAGACCTTACAGGGAAAGGCCAATGGCTCTCAAGCAAAGGCACAGGATGGGGGCACGGGGCTTGCTATCCTGCTCCAGCCCCAAGGCCCAAGAGATGGACCTCTCTCGGGGACTCACTGATCCCAGAAAGGCTGAGGGACACCCGGAGAAGCCCTGGACTTGACCGGTGGCCTGGAGCCAAGGCCAGACAGACCCCAGCTGACCCGGCAGCTTTCTGTGAGCCAGAAAGAAATGCTCGTGTTTGCAGCCACTGAGCGTGGCAGTGGCTTGTCAAACAGCCTCATTGCAGGGATACTGGGTAGCAAGGTTGACTACACTTTGTAAGTCAAAAACATCTCGAAAATTTCTTATTAAGGAAGGATGGAACCCTTCCTACTTCATTTCTGTTGGTGATGACAGTAACGGAATCAGACAGCCACTGCGAGAGAACGCAAAAACGATCACCTTGCTTTACCCACTGCACTAACTAGAGAGGAAGACCTTAGTGGAGTTCTTTGCACGAAGCTGGGGTGAACCCCGTTATCTCTACTCTACCCCCACCTCCCTGTGGGGAGGCCTTCCAGCGTCAGGAGTGGGGTCTGCCCTCTGCCTGGGAGATATCGCGGTGGGTCGGGGGATCCTGGAGTGAAGGGAGCAGGCAGGGCCCTGGTGGATGAGGCACTAACAGCCAGACTGACAGTTTGCATAGAGCCGCTGGCCTGCTCTGTGAAGAAAGGACTGGAAGGGACCAGGGTGCATGCAGGAGACAATGGGTGAGGACAGATGGCCGGGGCAGACCCTGGCCACGGCCCCCAGTGCTGGCCGCCCTTGTGCAGCGCCTTGTGGGCAGCGCCGCCGGGGCTGAGCTGACACGCTGGCACTGGCACACAATGTGAATGCAAGTGGAGAATGAAACGTGCACACATCAGCCCAGGCCCTGTGGGTGTGGCGGGGTGGGGGCGAGGCCACCAGGCCCTCAGCTCTCACTAAATGGCGCCTTGAAGAGCCCACAACTTCTTCAGTGCTTGGCTGAATTGATCAGCCATCAATTTTGGCTTTCCCCAGAGTCCTGATTCATGATTTTAAGAATCCTAAAACTGCAAGCTGCTGAAGGCTTCCGGACAATGAACAGCTGGTCCCTCCTTGCGGCAGCAGGCAGGCTGGCTTTCCGGCCCGCGGGCAGCAGGTGAAGGAGCGTCTTCAGAAGCCGCGCGCCAGAGAGTGGCAAGGACGCGCCGGGGTGGGCAGGCAGGAGCCGTGAGGCCCCCACTCCACCTGTCGCTGTGATTCACTAAGTATTTCTAGGCTACTCACAACGATGGATTCAACGACATTCTCGCAGGGCCTACAAAGCCTCAGAGGACCGAGGAGGGGGCAGTCACCTCTCTCCTGTCCCGGCTGGCCGGGACAACGGCACTGGGCATGCAGTGTCCAGCCGGCCGAGCTGTCTTGAGGGCCCTCTGATTGAAGAGTGTCAGGTGTGAGACGGAAAGTGAGGGCCACCTCCACTGAAGGCGACAGTCGCCTCAGTACGTGGTTTTTACGGCGTGGCGAGGGCCATCTGGGGACACAGAGGGGTGGCATGCACGCTGTCCAGAGAGCAGCTGCCTGGTAAAGGGGGACTTCGAAGGAGCGGGCGTGGGAGGGGGAGGCTTTGGTTGTATTGCTAACATTTCTTGCTTTAAAAATAAAGAAAAGAGAGAATGAGAAAGCAAATTGGTGAAATGTTAACATCTGTTCAATCTGGTGGTAGGCACATGGGTGTCTGTCATATTATTTTCTGTCCTTTTCAGAATGGTTAAAATATTGCATAATGAAAATATTTTAAATTAAGTTGTAAAAAAAAAAAGAGGAGCGAGAAAACAGAAGCCCCTCAGGAACGGCCCTGCGACCCTGCAGAGGCTGGCCGGGAAAGGTGGGAGGCTGGCCTTGGGCTCCTGGGATAACCCAAGGGGGAGGGACACAGGGGTGAGGAAGGGGAGAAAGACCCAGTCTACGCAGCCTCTGGCCCTGGTGCCCCGAGTGGGCTGCCCCTTCCGAGGGTTGTCTATTACACCAACTCCATCTTCCTTCCCTCCCAGCTCCCACAGAACATGGTACCTGTACACACTGCCATCACCTTAGCGACCAGAGGCTGGGAGACACGGACAGTGGCAACCGCTGCTGGGTGTGCCTGAATGAGTGGGCAGGGCGGAGGGGGCCTGGGTGATGCACAGTGCGGCCACCCCGCTGCCACCTGGGCCCCACATCCAGAATCTGCACACCGGGATCTTCGACCCACCTCTCAGACACTGGCCAAGAGAAGAAGCCAGTAGATTCTAGAACTTCTACCAAGACTGTCAGTGCCCGTGTGCACATATCCTTTGAGGTAGTAACCGCACGTTAAGAAGCTTTTCCTCCTGCTGGATAGTAGGGTGTGAGCAGTGAGAGTATAAACAAAGCTGCTCATTGCAGGATGGACAGTAACAGCAGCAACAGGAAACTATCCAAATGTCCATCCATAAGGGGCGCAGGAGGGCTCGCATGCATCCACGAGTTGGAATATTATGCAGGCATAAATAATGAAAATGCATTTTATGGACTTCTATGGAAAGTTCTCGAGGACTACTGAGTGAAAAAACACGAGATGCACAATAATGCATGAGATATGCTATTAAAAAGGAGAAGAGCAATACTTCCAAGCAGTCACGTGCGTGCCCGAGATAACAGGGCCCACAGGGAAGCGCTGACAATGGCTGCTTCTGTGACAGCCATTGGGTGGCTGGAGTCAGAGCTGGGTTTTTTAATGCTGAATTTCATACTGCTTTTCACAAAATGGCAAATGCAATATTCCCTGGCACATTCGGCCCAGTTTGCTGGGCTGTTCCGGGGACCAGTGCTGACCTGGGTCTGGGTCACTGATCAGCTGGTCTCCAAAGGACACAGCTCTCCCCTCAGCCCAGAGCCAGGGAGCTTTCTGTTTTGGTGTGCAGAGGCCAGCCACTCCCTCCGGCGAGAGCCTGGGCTTCGGGAGGGAGCTGGCTGGGCGGAGGCCTTGTTGCTAGCTCGTCTGTGACCCAGAGCCCCTGGCTGCACCTCCCGAGGAGGGCTCCCTGCCTGGCCAGCCGCCACCCAGGGCTCCTGTGCCGTTCAGGCCAGGTGCCCACGTGCCTCTTCACCTCAAGCCAAACTGAGATGGGTTTTCTGTCACTTGCCACCAAAGGATTCCAGGCAAATACAGATCCTGCTGATTTCTTCATCAAAGCCATCTCTGGTTGCGAAAGCCCCCTTTGAGGGCGCGGGACATGTGTGCACGAGCATCCTGCTGCAGCAGGCAACACAGGAGGCGGCCCTGTGTGTGCAGGGAGGGGGGGCGGGGGGGCTTCGCGGCCCCGTGGAGGTGCGCACCTGTAGCAGACATTCTCAGTGCAGGGGTTGTGGGCTCGGACGATGATGAAGACATGCTGGAAGTGCGAGCGGATGTTCTTGGGGGTGAAAGGCAGCGCCCCCGGCTCCTGGAAGATGATGGTGACGATGTCGTTTCCTATGTGCCTCTTCCGCAGTAGCTGGTGAAGGGCAAGCAGAGCGGTGGCGTCACAGGCACGGCCACGGCACCTCCTCACTGTCTCTGGTCACACCTGGTCCCTCTGGCCCTGAGCCCGCCTGCAGCGCCACCTCCAGGTAAAGGGCAATCGCCGCCAGGCCCGGGGTCGGGTGGGGGCACACGCCATCTCCTTGTCACTGCCAACATCTCTCCTCCCGCCCCCTGCTTGCCCTCTGCTCCACCTCAGGCCCCTGCTGGGTGCCACGAGCCTTTCCTCCAGGCACCTGCACTGGCTGCTCCTTCTGCCCGGAGCGTTCCCCCCGACTCCCACGTGGCTCCCTCCCGCCCTATCTTCTTCAGGCCCTAGCTGTGAAATCACCTTCCCAGGGAGGCCCTCGCTGTGTTATCCAAGGTCTCGGCCCCCAACATGCCCCTCGTGCCTGTCTGCCCCCATCAGGCAACATTCAGCAACAGAGCACAGAGGCCTTTTCAGCCTTCCTTTCCTTTCTCGTCTGTCTCTCCCCGCACATGTGTGTGCCAGCAGGACAGGGCGCGGCTGTCTCCTCAGTGCTGGGAACAGCGCCCCGCACACAGCAGGGCACCCCACACACCTACAGGAGGGGAGTGCGGCTGCCTCTGACCCATTCGAGGCCATGTGTGGAGTCAGAGCGCAGGGACACCCAGATGCGGAGCTGAGGGGGCCGGGCACCCGCCCCCTCTGGCCCTGCTGTCACGGCCTCTGAGGAGGACTGTGACGACGGTGGGCTGGGTTCTGTTCACTGCTGAGCCACACTGCTCCGAGGCACCCAAGTTCCGCCTTCACAGAGCTCGTAAGAATCCAGGCTGGGACAGGACCTCTACAGCCAGGAGCTCCCGTGAGGGGCCCAGGGGTGCCCCAGACACACCGTGCACGCCCGAACTGCTAGTGCTTCATGGATGTGTGTGCTAAGCTGGATTAAAGTGCCAGATAACACCCGCCAACTGTGGCTGACACGCTGCCATGTTTTACGTCCACATCTTGAACTCACAATCTCATTGACTCTTCGCAACAACCTTCTGAGGTCTTAACTCGTCCGGCCCTTTCACTGAAGAGAAAACCTGGGCCCGGTGGCTAAATGACTTGTCCGTCAGTCACGGGCGGACCGAGCCAGGACCCCACTCTGCCAGAGGCTGCCCCCACAGCGCGCCCCCACACCCCCCAAAAGCCCACGCACTCGGACCCTTCCTGTGGTCCTTCTAGGGGGTCCTGCCTCATGCTCTGACTTTCTGCCTGAGTGCAGGGAGTGCTTTCAAGGACCCCGAGGCATGGGCCTGTCCCTCTGCCTCCTTTACAGAGGGACCCGAGGCTCGGAAAGGGGAGAGCTCACAGCTAGAAAGGGGGAAAGAAAGAAATGGAACGCAGGTCTATGTCTGCTTTTACACCACGCTGTCCGGTTGCCCGCCCGGCACCCCTTCCTCCTTGTCCAAGCCACACCCAGCCCCTGTAGGAAAGCATCTCCCTGGTCTCTGTCTTGTTTCAAGTTGAGCTGACTCCGCTCACCCTCTCTGGGCTGGGCACTGGCCTCAGCCTACCCACCGCACCCCAGATCTGGCATGAGACTGGCCCAACCAGACTTGGCCCTGAAACATTTCTTGGTGCCCTGGATGGAACAGCTCTTCCCCTGGCGTGGCTCTGCTGACAGACGTCCCTGGGGGCAGGGACACGGGGGTGTGGCTGTCGCTGCCTTGCCCCGGACGAAAGGCTGCGATAAAAAGAAGCAGAGGGAGAAATGGACAGATTCTGACACTGTCTGGGCCCTGGACCGGCCACATCTACCGCCAGTCCCTGCCTGGCACTTCAGATTCGAGGACCTGATACACACCCCCTTTCCTTGTGCCAGTGTGGGTTGCCTTTCTGTCACTGGCACTGAAAGGAGAGACGGACTCACTCTTCCTTTTTATTGGGCCCCTGAGGATTCAGGAGGCTGGGGAGGAGTTGGGGTAGCTGGGAGCACCAGGATGGCCGGAGGAACAGACACCAGGTGACACCTGTCCCAGGCTCCGAACCTCAGGGGACATGACCGTGCTCAGAGGGTCTCAAAGGCCAAAGGCCTCCAGCTGCCATGCAGCAGAGTGCCGGGGGAGCCAAGCCGGCAGCCGTGGGAAGGGAGTGCACCTTGGGGGTCACTGGTGCACCGGAGGAATCATCTGGGGGCCCCACTGACCTGCTGCCTGTTGTTGGGGGTGTAAGGGAGCAGGGTGGAGACGTGGAACATGATCTCGTAGTCCTGGTACGTCGTGTAGAGGGAGTGGGTTCCCGTGGAGTCGGCTGAAACAGAAGCACCAGTCAGCACCACGTTTCCAAACCGCTGGGCTCTTGCCATGTCCCACACACCATCTGCGCTAGGTTCTCACTTGGTGTTTTCACTCAACTCCACTCTTGAAAATTAAATGAATTTTGAGAAAAGGAAACCTTATGTTGCACCCACTGCACTGGGGAAAATGTTCAAGCCTAACAGGACAGTACCGAGGATGCGGAGCAACCGGAACCTGGGAGCGGGCTGGGGAGGCGTGCAACTTGGTGCGAGCACCGGGAAGACCACCTGGCGCGGGCCTGAGACCTGCACTTCCTCTTCCAAGGGCCCAGCCTGCAGAGATCCAACACGCGTGCTGGAGACAGGGGTGCGAGTACCCTCGAAAGTCAGTCAGAAGAACAGTAAGCTTGTGTATCCACATCGTGGGAAAGGACCCAGCCACGAGAGGGGCGGTCAGCTCCACGCTGAGGGAGGCCGCCCGCAGGGGCACCCATCAGCAAAGAGACTGGGGAGAAGAAAAGCTGCGTGGGACCAGATGGTGGTGATCTCTAATTTGACAGGGCATATGGTAAGGAGAAGCACAGCCAAGCACTGGCCCTCCTTTTCAGAGGGGGAAACTGAGTCACGGGCCGTGACTTGCGATGTGACAAGTGGTGAGCTGCAGCCTGGACCTCCGGGGTGTCTGGCTCCTCAGCATTTCAACAGCGCTCAGCTCTGCCTATTAAGGGTTTCGCATTCCTCAGAGGAAACAGATCCAAACCCCTACTTGTTAGCAACAAAGGCCCTGGACGGTGGTGCTGCAATGACTGTGTCATACCTACCGACCCCCCGAGGAAGAAATCGTCCCGCTGTTCTACCAGGAGACTCATTTTTGTCGAGGCAGCCCCTCCCCGGAAGCGGCGCCACTGTCCTGGACGTCGCGCCTACACTCTCTGCTTTTCCTCGGCGCTTTAGTGGAGCAAAACCCACACACGGCCAGGCCTGGTGCGTGCCCGATGAGCAGCCCCAGAGCCCGCCTTTCTGCGCGCCCCCTCCCCGTGCAAGACAAAGCAGGGGCCCTTGACAGGCTGCCGCCACGGCTCCGCTAGTCCTCCGCACCGTGACACAGCACCCACAGCACCCCGCTGGGTGCCCACACCAGCTACTACACGGCTCCAGGCACACGGGACACCGCCCGGGGTCTACAGGTGTGGACACGCAGGACCCGCTGGGATGCGTGTGTGCAAGGCCCCGAGACCATGTAGGGGGTGTTTTCACCCCTCATTAGACGACTCCGTGCCCTCTGCCTGTCCGCCAGCAGGCTCCCTGTGCCCCTGGTCACCTTGGCATGACCAGGCCCTCTGGCTGTGGCCCACGGGTGGGTGGGCGGTGGCAGCTCCTGGTGACCTCCCTGGCTCCCCCCACGAGGCCCAGCAGCCACTTACTCTTGACGTCGAGCTGGGCCGCGTACTTGGTGAAGCCCTTCAGGCAGACCTTCTCCCCGATGAGGGACAGGAACTCCTCGAAGGCGGGGCCCGCCCCCTCGTTGTTGTACATCTCCTCCTCAGAGCTCTGGCCCGCCTTGCAGTAGAGGATGCCCACCTTGTGCTTCCGGCAGAGCTGCGGGGGCAAGAGCGGCTTTGTGGAGGCCGGCCAGGCAGAGGTGAGGCCTTTCTCCAGCACTGAGCCCGGGCGCTGCCAGGGTCACGGCAGATTCTGCTCCACAGCCAGAAAGGAAGGGAAAGGCAGTGGGTGTGCCCTGCTCCCCCACCCCCTCCTCATTCCGGAAGGCACGACAAGGTGTCCACGCCACCCGTCCTCGTTCCTCCTGCAGAGGCTGGTGAGGCCGCGCTGTCAGTTGAGAGTTGCTGGCGGGCGGCCCACAGGAGGTAGATGGGAGCTGGATGAGTGTTTGTGAAAGGGAATTCTGGGGGGCTCAGGACTCAGCACTGTCAACACTTTTTTTGTTTTGAATGGAAGTTTAGGTGTGTACGTCACTGATTCCAGAACCTGGTCCCCAGTGACTGGCGGACAGACCCGGCCTCAGCACGGGCCAGTCCGACGTCCTCCTGGGGCTGGGAGCGGTGGGAGGGCCAGGGAATCCGAGGGAGCCAGTGTGCACAGAGGGGGTGACCCAGTCACATCTTGCTCTTGGTACTCCCAGAATTTGCCAAAAGACCCATCCATCCTTTTACTGAAATTAGCATAGTGTGTTGTCTTGGGGGGGGGGGGGGGGGCAGCGGGGTGTGAGTGAACAAGACAGAGGAGCTACCAGGAGTGGAGTGGGGTGCAAGCTGAGGCCCTGTGCCCCGCCCGGCCCCGGCTCACCCCTTGCTCGTCGAGCTTCAGCAGCTGCTCCGTCACCTTGGGAGTGTTGAGAGCCAGCCGAAGGCAGTGGATGTTGAGCTCGGGGATGACATACTCCAGGGCATCCTTCAGGGGGAGCCCCCGCCCCGTCCCGTGCTTGGTGGCCGTGGGCGTGGCGTCCTCCAGGATGGAGCCCCGCAGGGTGATGAGCTGCTCAGGGAGAGAAGGCAATGTTAGGGGATGCTCAGTACAGGGGGTCCTGTCCTCAAAGTGACATGTGCCATGGTCAGAAAGCCCTGGTCCTGGACCTGGACTTGAACATGCTGCCTCCTGGGGAGTGGCCTTGACCACGTGACTTCCCATCTCTGAGCTTCAGCTTCTTCCTTCATGACAGATCATGACCCCAGAGGGCCCCTGGGAGGCCGTAAGACAGTGGATGGAATATACTTTTATTTGTTCAGCAACTATTTAGGGCTCAACTCCTAAATGCCAGCCCTGGAGGGTAAGGCAAAGACCCCTGCCTCCTGGAGCTGACACTGAGCGAGGAAAGATGATGGATGAACTGGCTCCATGAGGCAGCCACACAAACAGACCTTTTCACTGTCATCACAATAACATTTCCGGAACACGCTACCGTGAGCTCTCAGGTGTTAACAGCCGCTTTCCCTGGACACTAGAACCGTCTTGATCTGTGGCACTGGTTTTCAACTTGGTTCCTGACAAAGTCATCACTGGTGGTTCTGATTCAGTGTGTCTGGAAGGTGGGGGGTGCATGAAAACATGCACACAAGTATGGACGCAGACATATATATATATGCATGCACAGACACACGTGGTCTCTCTCTCTCTCTCTCTCTCTCACACACACACACACACACACTTTAATACCACTCAGGTGACTCTGATGTGTAGCCAGGCTGCAAAGTCTAATCAAGCTAACCATGGCCATCTCATTTCCCTAACCCAGATGCTGTTTTCCAAGCATAGAGCTGGCCATAGTTTCAGCAATATAACAGGGTGTGGTAGGCCTGGAGAGGTCAGATTTCCCTCCCTGGGAAAAGGAAAGCCCCTTTGTACTCGCCCATTTTTTTTGGCTAGGGATAGTGGTGTGAGGATAAGATGCTTGGTGCTGTGGCAGCCACTTTGTGACCATGACGAAAGAGATGATTACAAAAGTCACAGGCAAGTCGATCCTTGCAGCTGCCTACCTCCAGACTTCTTGTGAGAAAATTAAAATAATCTCCTATTTGCATTTGCTGGTTACTCAGGTTTTCTGTCACTTTGCAGATGAAGCAACTTCTAACTGCTAGAACCTTACTGAAGAGCCGCATCTGTGAAAGAGCAGTTCATTTCATCGCATTCCAGGTACTGAAGTGTTATCTAACTATATGCACCAGTCTGAGTGGGGTGCTTTGAAAATCTTCATGGAAGAGAAAGCTGAAATTCCACGTTAGGTGCCTTGTCCAAGGTCACCAGCACTAGGTGGGTGAACCAAGACTCCCAGCCAGGCTAGACTTCTCCTAAACTCAGCGTATTTCTCCCCTTCAATTACTCCTTTTATTGGGAAGTATCATCTCCACACAGAAAAATGCACAGCCCGTGTAAAAGCAACTAAAGGAATTCTCACCGAGTGCACTTGGGGACTCACCACAGATCAAGAAATGCAGACTTCCAGCCCCCAGAAGTCCTTCTGTGCCCTCTCCTGCTCCCACCTTGACTTCTTATGTCCTAATTTAGTTCCGCCTCTTTTGAGCTGTGTGTGCTTATGCTTTCATGTCTGTTTTCTTTCTCAGTCCTAGGGATGAGACTCGGCGTTGTTGCTGCAAGAGGCTGATGCGTTTAACATGATGGATTCACCCATCCTCTTGCTCATGCATGGAAATGGCTCCTGTGTTTGACAACCGTGGACAGGGCTGTTAGGACCTCCTGAGCACCACCTCTTAGTGTGTGTGAACACATATTCCTGTGGGTTTATACCCACAGGAGAGAAACTGCTGAATCACCAGGCATGATAATCTTCAATTTTACTGAACAGCCAAATAGTTTTCCAAGAGGCTGGATCAATTTACACCCCGCTAGCTGTGTCTGGAGCCCCCTGTTGTTTTGCGTCCCCACAGGCTCAGGCTTCCACCAGCCATCCACACATGTGACGCCCCCCAGATTATGCCTGCCCCGGGCTGGGCAGAGCTGCTCCAGCACCACAGTCAGGGGTCTACAGTAGTGCAAGGAAAAAATGCTCCCCCTGGGGGGGCTGTTTCAGGCACCGAAACTACACTGGGCTATGGGTCAGAGACTGAGGATGGTGTTAACTGAAAAAATACACTCCTCTAAGTCAACAGACACAGGAGGAGGCAGGAACAGTGCGTCATGCCATCATCTGGAAGCACGTGACCCACCCTTGCCAAACAGCACCTGGGCAAGAGGCCTGCGTGAAGGGAATGTTATGATCTCGGGGCTGGGAGTGCCCAGCTCTGGCCCCAGTGTGGTGGATAAACAAACTAATTTCTCTTATGATAAGTAGGGCAGTCTTGAGAGAGATCATGAATGCAATGCAATGATGTCAGATAGTTTTTTACCCCGCAATCTGGGTGGCCCGGGGGCTGTGGATTTCAGGAACCAAAAGGCACTGCTTTGTAAGCCTGCTGACTGCCCTGCAGCGCCCTCTGCTGGGGATGGGGACAGCGTGGACCCGACCTCCTCGCTCCACACTGGAGAAGAGTGGCCGCCAGCATGTTTGGGCCCTGACAGAGGGTCACACTTACATTGCTCTAGATGTTTCCTCCTCCTCCGGAGATAAATGGGGCAGTGGCAAGTCACAATGAGCAGCACGTCTGCTCTCTACCAGTCCTGTCCGTGGCCACCTCCTATCTGGACTGTGCCCGCAGGCTCCAGTTTCCGGCTAGGGCCTAGTCACTGCCCCACCGAGCACCTCTGCCCTGCGGCAGCAGGCTGGCGTGAGGTCAGGCCTCTCCACTGCTCAGAGCCCACTAAGGGTTTCCGATCTCTCTCAGAATGAAATCTGAACCGCCTGCTCAGCCTTCTGGGCCTGGGGTCTGATCTGACCCCAACCACACGGCGCTGCCTTGTTGAAGGCAGTCGTCAGGCGAGCGGTGAAAGAGCCCGGGAGCACCGGGAGGTGGCTCCTGCTCACACTGGCTGTTCCTTGTGTGGCTCCGTCGCAGGTGAGGCCCTCCTGCCAGGGCGGGTGGTGTAAAAACCCTTCCAGATTTTTCCTGGGAGATCACTTGGCAGTGGGTTGGCTGGGTTCAAATGCTCGTTCAGCTCCTACCCTAGCTGTGTGACCCTGGGTAGGGGCAGGTGGCTTAATTTCTCTTGGTCTGTGAAATGGGGGTCACAGTGACTACCTCAAGGGGTTGGAAGGATGCAGTAAGCTAATCCCCAATCGCTCAGTGTGTGTGGGCTGTTTCTGTGTGTGCGTGCATCAAATATATAAAGTCACACCTGCAGTTACAATTTTTAAGGCTTAAATGGGATGTACAGTTGGCTCCCCAGTCTTCCTGCCACGTAACAGTAAGCTTTGGAGGTTATTTATAATACTACACACACACACACACACACACACACACACACACACACACACACACACAC